GTTAGTAGATACTATAGACTAAAAAATATCAAAATACGGAAACGGTACAAATTGGAACATTTTTTAAATTCTTTATCAAAGTTAAAATATAGTACTTTTGTGATGAATTTTTTACTTTTAATGCTAAAAGTTGTACTACCTACTTTTTAATAATAATTACTAAAATCCAGTAATTTGATAATTTTATCAAAAATTCATTAAAAAACTAACTTCAAGAAGCGACTACAATTGAGCCTGCCACTTTTAGAATTTCATAAATTTGAAAATTCTTAGTAAGAGTATTAGTAACAAAACCCACTATCATACATAAGGATTGAACCAAGTCACTTTTTTATTTTTTGGCCATGTGATTTCCCACTGTGCAGTGGTAGGAATTGAACCTCAGCTTACTTGTTCAAAAGCTCGGCGCCTTATCTACTAGGCCACACTGGCACATTCTCAAGCAAATATTTTTAAAACAATGTAATGATTTTTTTAAGGGAAAAAACGTTATAGATAAAAATTAAGGAGGGATTGACCCATTGCAATTTTCAAGTGAAAATCAAACTGTAAAACTTGATAAATGTTTCAGTATGTTTTAACATTACTTAATTTAAATTTACGTACGTTAGATATTTGGATACACGTTCACGTTTTCATATAAAACAAAGGTGCTGCAACTCTTTCTCGCCTTTACCTCGCTTGCAATGGCTGTCAAGGGTACCGTGTCAAACAGGCTTGAAAGCACACTACTACTACTACTACTACTACTACTACTACTACTACTACTACTACTACTACTACTACTACTACTACTACTACTACTACTACTACTGCTACTACTACTACTACTACTACTACTACTACTACTACTACTACTACTGCTGCTGCTGCTCCTACTACTACTACTACTACTACTACTACTACTACTACTACTACTACTACTACTACTACTACTAATACTACTACTACTACTATTACTACTACTACTACTACTACTAATACTACTACTACTACTATTACTACTACTACTACTACTAATACTACTACTACTATCAAGTTCAGTATTATTATAAAGATTTTTTTCATATAATGCGTTACGGAAGGTGAATTTGCGCATGTACAACTTCCGTAAAAGCATTTTTAATTACAAAAGATATAAATATGAAATTTTCGTAAGCTTTGTTTATCGGCTAACAACCCTAGTATATAATGAAATTACAACAAAAAAAAGTTATAGCAGATAGGCCTTAAAGAGGATAATGATAACTTAACGTTAACACAATCTTTTCGTAGAACTTTATAAAAGTTTAAATAATATATCCTAATGGTATAAAGCTCGTATAAAATAAAAAATAGTAACAAAGTTATTGTTAAAATAGTCAAACAAAAATTAAATTCCAAAAAACAAAAATTTTTCTTATGATAATCAAATTTTAAAAAATTCTTTTTTTGTTTGAAACTTTAATGAATTTAAGAACTTCACTATAAATTTATATTCCTTTTGACAATTCTTCCTTAATATAGGTCCTCAATATAATATACAATACTCTAAGAGTTTATTGAACTTCCAAGGCAATTTATTGTTATTCATCTTAGATGATACTTTTGATTTCGATTTTTTCTTTATGTTGAAGGCAAGAGGTTGTTGTTTCATCTATAAGTGATGTTATCAACTTCGAATAAATCGACGAAATGTAGTTGAAATTTTTAAACTTTTAAAAATTGAATTATCAATATAATCACAAAGAATATAGCGTATTTTAATTATTGGTCGGAGATTTCAGCATTATTACATTTCTGAAAATCAACATTAAGTTTTAAGAATAGTTGAACTAGGTTCAGTTAAAGCTGAACAAGTTAGTTCACAGGTTGTTTTAAGAATTGTTGAACTAGGTTCAGTTAAAGCTGAACAACTTAGTTCACAGGTTGTTGCCTCAAAATATGCTCCTCCTCTATTTGCTTAAAAAGTATTTTTCCGGCTGAAAACTATTCAAAGTCACTCTTTTTACTCAAAAACTGGTTTAGAAACTAGAACGCAAGACTCTATAATCACAGCTTAAAAAGGTCTAATCAAAATTTTCTAAATCTATTCTCTAATCAAATAAGCCTGGGTAAGTTAATAAAATCCAATTTTAGGCAAAAGTCCAAAATTTATTTATGAAAAAATTTCACTTTCAAAACCAACAGAAACGGCAAATTGTCACTGCATTAGAATTTTTAACCTCAATTTTATTTTCTAGACAACTCAACAGATCTAACAATCTAGTATTTTAAATCTAGAACTGATGGGGGATGTTTATTTTCAAAGTAATCTTGACAGTCATGGTACTTGAAGAGAGAGAAACTTTTCAAAGATGATCGACGTGGTAACTAGTTAAATAATTACATCCTCCGTCATCAAAAAACAACTGTTAAACAGAGGTTTAACAGTTGTTTTTTGATGGTTTAAATTTTTATTCAAAAACTAAACTTTTTTCATACAATTTTCTGGATGTAAAGTAAAAAATAATTTTGAGACTTGTTTATAATCAACAGTTTGATTGTAGTGGATATTCATGATAGCTAATGAACCAACTCTATCTGCAGTCATACTGGCTCTCAACTATGATTTTAATCTTCGCACTGCTGAAATCTATGTTCACATTCTGCGGTTGTTACGGGTAGCGTACATCCGATTTTTAGAAGCTCAAAAAGATTAGGATATTGATTTTCATCGCAGATTTCCCTAAAAAATTTTGCCTTTGCTTATATCCACGGTTAACAAAAGCTCCCAAATTTTTTTTTTATCCTGCTTTATAAATAAAGTGCAGTATATGCAGTGGACTGCGTCTTTACTTTTGCTGTAGACAAATCCATTTTGTAAATATTTTTCTTAACAAGCGCGTTTGAAACCATGTTTTATTGTTTTGGGTAATTGAAAATGTATTTTCTGTTTTAAGTTATTCGTATAATAGATTTTGTTTTCCGCGCAAGAGTTCGTCAATATCATATCGTTTTTTTTCTTCTTTTTAAATTACATTTTTTTAAATTTGTTTGGTCTACTTCGGTTGACAAGCTTTTGTTAACATTATTATCATTTTTAATGACTTCCTCTTTTTCTTTTACTCCGGGTAATGTTGTATCGGTTACATTTTGAGAACTGTCGATAATAAAAAACACTTGAAACGTAACTAATTAATAATAAACTTTCAGATCTTAAACCATACCAAATTTAAAAAATACGCCAGTTTTTTTAAATTTGGTATGGTTTAAGATCTGAGAGTTTATTATTAATTACAATAAAAAATAAGTGATAACAAGAGTACTAATTATTATAAAAAGAAGATCAAAATAACTTCTTTACTTAATATATCCAGCTAACGATTTGCATTTCTTTACAGCATTTTGAAGCTCTTTTCTATCAGCTGCTCTTGGTTAGGCATGTTAACTCTTGGTTAGAATTGTAGTTACAATTATTCGTTTACAAAAGATTCCACAATTCGATGACTTGTAATGACGCTTTACGTTTGCGAAACAATAAAGTGAAAATTGTTTCATGAGAATGATTCACAAAAATCAAATAATTATCAACAAATTTTGACATCAAAAAGAGTCTAGAAATAATGTTTGGCGTCAAATTAAAAAAGGCACTTTGAATTAAAGGAGGAGTCGATCGCACCCAACAACCCCTCCCTCCCTCCCCACTGCATACTTTAAAAACTAGAGTTATTAATGTATTTTTTTCAAGTAATACACTTGAAACACACTTAGTATATGAATATACTATAGCATATGAAATATACTTTTTTAAAAGCAATAAAAATATAATATCCTTAATCTGTATTCTAGATGCATAAGTTAATTTATAAATAATCATAATAATTACAATTGTGAAGAATTTTTTCTTGTTTCCCTGTGACACTAAATAAACTACTTTTCATTCAACTTAATTTAGTTCTCAACCAACTGACTGTGAAACTAAAACAAATTAATTACAACGTAAACTAAATTTTTATGTCAATTTCCTTGCGGCTTAGAACGCGCAATTCACAGCACGATTTAAGTCATTATTTATCAACTGTAATTCCTTTAAGGCACGTATGTAAAGTCAATGTAGCAACACTAATCACTAAATACTCTCTAGTGGTTATTTAGACGAGATTTACAACACAATATTAAACTGTTCCCAATCTTTATGAGAATAAGAATTGAACTAAGTTGATCAAAAAATTTTTTTTAGTTCCCTAAAAATAAATTTTATTAATTTTATCATATGACGTAGCAAACGAGTTAAGCTTATTGTGCGGTAAATCTTTTTTTATGCTGAAGAAGTACTTGTTCAAAGAAGTATGTAAATCCAGGGCCGGTGCAAAGGGGTTATGACACCCTGGGCAAAACTTCAAAGGTCGCACCCCTTTTACGTAAAAAAATCAAAATAAAATGCAAAATAAAGTGAAAACACCAGGTAAGTATTTATTTATTTAAAAATATCAAAACTGTACCTTTTTCTGGGCAAAATCGATCACAAGGTCCTTCAGGTCCAGCTTGTCTGCAAGTTCGTGCTCAATGGAAAGAGTTGCCAACCCAACCAATCTGTCTTGGCACATGGATGATCGAATGTATGTCTTTATCAATTTTAGTTTGGAAAAACTACGCTCTCCACTAGCGACAGAAACAGGTAATGTCAGCAAAATACGAAGAGCAATACAAAGGTTGGGTAGACTGTCTTCCAAGTTTTGGCAAAGAATAAATCGAAAAACATCTTGAGGAGACTTTGTTTCTTCAGAAAGTCGTCGTGCAATAGACTGTAGTTTGCCACACAAATCTGATGCAACTAAACCTCTGTTATCACCATGTTGTAAAGCAGATTCTAGTTTCATGCAACATTCCAATATTTCTTGTGAAGTTTTACTCTGTAGACCATGAATATGATATAAGAAACCAAATACAGATTCAATTGTTCTCATTTGTTCAAACCTTTCTTCAACCGACCTTATTGCTGTGTCAAGTATAGCAAAGAAAAAATTCACTTTGAAATTTTATTTTGGATCTTGCACAGGCTCATCTTCAGCTTCATATGCAAATTGCTTTTTTCTCTGCCGTAATCGTGGTTCTGCCTCAAAGGTTGGTGGTATCTCCAAATCCTTAGCAATTTCAGCAACATCCACTAGCATTCTTGCAAAACCTATGTCACTCCTACAGTCAACCAAATAGGCTTGTGTGTGTTGTAACTGTTGTACAGCAGCATGAATATCCAAATCTTTAGCTTGGAGCTGCTTACTTGTTATATTGATTTCAAAAAGTATGTTGTACCATACAACAATTGAAACCACGAACTTAAACTTTGCAACACTATTCGCAAGTGCTTTAGCATCACTGCGTGCAGTGCTTCCTGAGGATCCAGTTAGAGAAGTATCATCAGCTATTTCTAGCAGTGCATCATATATTTTACTAAGTTCATATCGCAAAGGCTTTATAGCATCTATTCTGCTTTCCCATCTTGTTTCACTTAGAGGTTTAACAGTTAACGTAGGTTGATGACTAGTGAAAACTACCCACCGATGTATTGAAGACGAAAAATATACATACACACGTTGGACAATATCAAAAAAACTTGTAGCCATTAGACAACAATTTGCAGCATCATTGACAACCAAATTAAGAAACAATGCTCGAGGGTTAATGTTTAATATTTTCTTTTAAACACCATTATTTTTGCCTATCATATTTGCGCCATTATCGTAGCCTTAGCCACGTAAATTATCAATAGGTAACTCCATTTCTTCTAGTTGTTGTATTATCGTTTCTGCCATATAAGCTCCAGTTGTTTTCTTTAAAGGTACAAAGCCTAAAAAATGTTCTTTGATACTAAACTCCTTTTTCAATGAATCAACTTTAACAAAACGAATAATTATTGTCATTTGCTCAACATGGCTATAGTCAGGAGTACCATCGAGAACTATTGAAAAATATTTCATTGCATTTGCTGATTGTATGATTTCTTTCTTAATAGCATTTCCTAACAGTTGAATAAGTTCATTTTGTATATCTTTGCCAAGATAGTGTGTATGAAGCTCTTTATTTGATATCTTTCGTAGATGTTCGTTCATTAATGGATCAAAAATGGCTAAGTATTGCACAAATTTTAAAAAATTCCCGTTATTGGCACTGTACAATGTTTCATTTGTACCGCGAAAAGCTAGATTCTGTTCACCCAAAACTCTCACTAATGCTATTAAACGCTTTAGTATTTGCTGCCAATACTTTTCTTCATTCTTCATCTTGCGCAAAATTTCTGCATCTATTGTACTATCCCTCTGTAATCGCTGATGTAGTTCTTTCCACTTTTGATAGTTCTGCAAATGTTCAGGACTTTTCTCGTAGGAAGAAAGAATTGCCGCCATGTTTTTCCAGTCACTTAAACCTGTATGAGTTCGTTATGATATTCAAATTGCTTTCATACTGAACAGTTTGCAACAGAAACAAAACACTGAGTCTTTTAATACTGAATACAAGAGCCAGCTGCGACATAATTCTTCTCCATTAGGAAGTTTTCTTAAGTAGTGAAATACTGAAAACTTTCGATTGTTCTTATCATTTGGGAAACTGATATCTTTTGTTTGCTGAGGTCCACGTTCTACAATGATTGCACGTGTATTATGATTAATTAGTAGAAGCCAAAGTGCTGGATCCTGTGGAATAACATTATCCGTTTTTTCTTCACTTGCTTGCTGTACATGTTCCTCGAGAGAATTATTCAATTGGCCATTATCTGCATGGGAAACGGGAACTGTTGAGTAAGAAAGTGTTTCACTCATTATCACATTATCATTATCAACAACATTAGATATTTCTTGAGCTTCCATATCAGTGGGAATCTGTCCACCATTACTATCCTCTTTAGTAGAGTCTTGTCGGCATATAAACTTTAGCAATGAACCCTTCTGTTTTTCTTGTTCCCTCTGCTGTTTAACTTTTCGTTTACGATATTGAGCTCCTGAATGCTCTTCTCTCAGACATATCTGAAATGTAACAAGAAAATAATAAAATAAATGAATGTTGCGATGTTTAACTAATACATTAATAGGTCTTCTGTAATTGGCTTCAAGAATAAATTATATATAGCTAGCTAAAGTTTCCAACAGGTCTGAACAGCTCTGTAAGGTTTTAACAGGTTATCATTTAACTGTATTATACAAAAAACAACTTGGCAAAGTTATACGTCCTGCTAGTATTTTTTGTGTTTTTTTAAACGGAAATGGAAGTTAGCTATATGAATGAGATTTCAATGTGTAATTAGCTGGTGCAGATCAAGACATATTGTAGAAGCGAGTCAACAAAAAATTTAACCTGCTAGATGCATTGTGTTTAAATAATTCAAATTTTATTTTGTATAGCAAAGTTATACGTATGGTGAAGTATAATAATAATATAATACGTAATATATAATAGCCCTAGATTTAAGCTAATTATTATATATTCATATAAAAAATATTTTACTTTTCTTAATAAGTGTCTAAAACTTTATATAAATGTATAATAGTATATAGAATGTCACTATTCATCTATATGTATATATATATATATATATATATATATATATATATATATATATATATATATATATATATATATATATATATATATATATATATATATATATATATATATATACATATATTGTCAGTATAAATTATATAAAGAATATAGTCGACTAACTATTGAAAGTTTTTATGAAAATCACTTTGATTGTAAAGACGCCGCCATATTTGTTATGATTTAGATTGCGTTCGGTAAAATGTACGTACATATTGCTCAATGAGCAAAAGCGTTGTTTTTTGTTAGCATATAAAAAAACTTATCAATTTTTAGGCGCCCCTAAACTTTGGCGCCCTAGGCGATTGCCTAGTTCGCCTATAGGGTGCACCGGCCCTGTGTAAATCTTATATACTACTTCACAAACATAATTTCAATATTAGGTCTTCAATTTGTCACTTTAATTTCGCATTTTCAATCGCTTTTGTATGCCATTTACGAATATACAAACAAATATACAAACAAAATAACGTCTCGCTATAAATTTATTATTTGTAGGTTTAGAAAACCTGGAAAGTTGCAGTAAACTACGAAGTGATGGCAAGTTTGAAAAAATGAGATAATGTAAGTCAATCCGTGTTCACGTTCATTGCCGCAAAGACTATACAAATAATAAGAGATTTCAACGAATAACCATTTCCAAATTAGAGGCAAGTGCCTCATTAGAAAATGTTCCAAGACTTCGATCGACATTAGAAAGGATTGATTTCAAATTAAATTGTCTACTCTGCGGAAAATCTGCGAATTTAAAAGACAAAAGTAAGAAAACCTATGAGAAGAGGTAAACAATTTCCATCGTATTAACTATGACAATAAAAAATTTGGTGTTAGAGTTAGCTCAAATGCGGAATGACAAATCAGGTGAGATGGTTCGAGCTTGAGTTGGTTGTGTTATAGATTTGGTTGCAGCAGAAGGGTGATATCATATCCCAGACAGCAAGCTTACATTGGCCCAACGTAAGTTTTAACATTGGCAAGTTTATTCCATTGGACCAACATTTAGCCAATTTTTTTTTCGACGTATTATTTTCAATTCTGCAAATCGGTTTTTCGCAAATATCGTACTATATTGGGCCAACATTTAGCCAATGTTTTTCTTCGGCGTAATATTGTAATTCTACAAATCGGTTTTTTGCAATTATCGTACTACGTTGGGCCAACATTTGTCCAATGTAGTTTAGGCTTAATATTTTGCTATAAAAATCTGTTCTTACATTTAAGCCGTAGCCAATATTCGGCCAATGTGTAGTTGCGGATTAGTAAATATTTTTAAAAATGGTATCGTTTGACAGAATAAAAAAAGGTTTTGATATTATCTTTCCATTTTTTTAAATTATATATATAAAAAAAAGAAGCTATATTAATGAATCTTCTAAAAATCTTAAAAGGTTCGTTATATGAAATAAATTTCAAGAGGCTCTCGTGACTTAATGTTTGTTTTTTTTTAATAATGAAATATTTGTTACCAGTTAAATAATAAACTTGAAACATTTTTTACTGCAATGTAAATTATTAATGCAATAATAAAGGTAATAATTAAATCATTTTTGTTCGATTTCAAATGTTCGATTTATTTAATAAAGAAGACATTTTAAATTCTTCTTTATTAAATATATCAAACATTTGAAATGTCATACAGTATAAGTATTGAAAACAAAATTTTTTTCATAATTTATTTATAATAGTTTAGATTTTATAGCTATTATAAGATATATTATTAAAGGTATCAGTAGTATATATGTGGCATTGAAGTTGTTATAACAACAATCAAACAAAAAAGACATACTTAAAATGTAAAATATCAGCTTCTATAGAAGCTGATATTTTACATTTTAAGTATGTCTTTTTTGTTTGATTGTGAAACCCCATCTACTAAAATATTAAAACAGTGTACAAAAAGTGATGTTATTAGAATTTATATTCTACTTATGTAGAGCTTTCTAATATTGCCAGACATTTTGTTTTAAGACCAATGACTAGTCTAAAATAATTTATTGAATTATAAGATTAAATCAATGAATAATCTTTAAAATCAATTGAAATAAAAAGACTCAATTTAAATAATTATTTTTATATTTAAATTGAAACAACCCTTTATATATTCCATCTTTCTGAGGCAGAGGGACATTATTCTTGGTTTTATAATTTTTAATTTAATATCTCTGGATATTTTTCATAATTAGTTTACGTAATGCAGTTAACAACTTTAAGCTTATACATTAACTTTCGTTATAACTTAATTATTAATAATTTGATTTATAAATTTTTATAGCAATACAAGATTTAATTTAGCAGAAGGCTAAACTTCTGCTCTGGAGACAAAAAAGGAAGATAGCGAAAATAACCAGCCAAAATAAAGATTAAAGAGACAAAAAATTGTGTATATCTTGGTGTAGATGATTTATCCTCAATTTCTTATAATAAAACTAAAAATATTATTAAACTTAGGGATTTACCTGTAACTACAAACTCTTTACAGAAGTTCAATGTTTGCTCTGAGAAGTTAAGTGAACAAAATTTATTAAATGGTAAGTTTTTATATAAAATTCTTTATGTCTGATGATTGAAAATCTTTATTCATAGCTTTAACTTTAACAATTTTAAAGGCTTTTTCATATATTACGGTCAAAAAGTCAGAGTGATATTAAGATTTTATTTTATAATAATCAACATATCAAAGCTTACACCACTGGCTTGGTCAGAAAGCGGGAGCGATCGCTCTTGGATACTGACCACCGAAATTATATTTAGTTGCGAAGAACTGGCCAGGTTTTTTAGTCGTTTTGAGAACATTTATGTTTATGAACGTAACAAAAATTTTTTGTTAGATTTCAAAGTCACCAACTTTGAAATCCATTTGAAATCAACTGTTGAAAAAAACAACAGACTATTCATATCAGTTTAAAGTTTTAACAGTTGCTGGTGGTTCATTATTATTTATTATATAAACGTTTATTTAAATTTATCTAATAGACAAAGGTAATACGATATTTTTATAGATGATATTGTTTTTTAAATTGTATTATTAAAATTCAGAACTAAAATATGTATAAAAAAAATTATATTCAAACATTGGACAAGGTCTGTACTGTACCGGGAAAATCTGGAAAATATGTTAATATTGGCCAAAGTGGTGGAAAACCTGGAAAAGTCAGGGAATTATTTTTTTTTTTTTAGATAGTCATGGAAAAGTCAGTAATTCTAGTTAAGAAGTTACTCATTTTGCAATTGAACGCTGTATTTTGAAAACGTGAAGAGTCACACTTTTTAAAATTGAGGTTATTTGAAAAGAATATTTTTTTTATTAAAAGATAAAATTATAAGATAAAAAAAAGATTTATTAGATAAAATAAAGATTTTTTTTTGATAAAAAAAATAATTTTTAGTTAAAATAAAAACAAAATTTTTTTTAGGAAAAATGTTTTTTACTCTCCTGTAAAATTTTAATTTTGTGACTTGTCACATTTTCAAAATACAGCGCTCAATTAAGCTGTTATGTTTTTTTTTGGTGTTACTAATTTATTTTTTCTGAAACATGTTTTTCTTAGTGTTCATTCTTAATCATCCTTAATAATAAGAACCATACTAACATGTATAATAAGATCTATACTAATATCTAACTTAAGTAATAGCTAAGTTTTATATGTTTTGTCATTCAAAGCATGTATATTCTTAGCATTTTCATTACAGTAGATAGTAATTTTAAACATTTTGTAAAAACCATTGTTAAAAATCGTCAGGAAAATTCATCTGATTTTTCAAAAAAGTCATTTAATTTTATATAAATAGTTGGCTACGAACCCTGTTGGAGAAACATTGTTTTAATATGAGTTTTTTTGTTTTACATTGCAATGTGTATCTCAAACAATAATAAGAATTGTTTTGTGTCAGTCCCAGAAATTGAATGCGCACCTGCAAATTTCATAATTCATAAAAATATTATGAATCCATTAGCAAGTATATATTTTGATCATTAAAGGTTTGGCCCTCTGTCTTTAATTTATCTGTTTTGTTAGTGATTGTTGTATTTACTTTCATAAATTCTAAATATAATATATAATTAGTTGTATAGTTTTTTAATAATATAATTAACTTTATTGTTTCAAGATAAAGTTGTATCCTTGAAAGATATGCTGGTATTATTGGCACAATGGGCAAGCATTAAAGTGTAACTTGGTGAACTACAAAATACATCAAATTCAGTTATAAAAATTTGAGTATCAAAGGTATGCTAATTATTGTATTGCCTGAAAGAGTGTCATTGCCATTAAAAGCAGTGAAGAATTCAAGTACTTTGGAAGAAAAAAGACAAGAAAACACTTCAGTAAATGGTAAATATTTTTTTATGATCTGTTTATGCATTTAGTATGATATGTAGTACAATTTATATACTTTAAATAAAATACTCTTTGAAGATTTTTTGTAAATGACATTTTATATTAATTTAAGTCTAAACTAAAGTTACTTTAATTACTGCCAGGCTGTGTATTTTTGCAAGTTAATTATTTGGCACAAATTGGAGTTAAAGACGAAGGAGATTGTATATGTTATTTACTAAGAATAGTTTATTAAAATGGCCTAGCTCTAAAATTAAGTTATGCAGGGAGAGGATAAAAAATTGGAATAGGAAAAATGTTGATTGCATATGCTGCTATTGGTAAGTGGTTTAGAAAAGTTTATTTTTTCAGTTTCAATTTTGTATTACAGAATTACTTTCAATTTGTTATGTTTCTTTGGTGCATAATTAAACAAACAACTTTTTTTTTTTTTGCAGAAACTGTGAAGTCAATTAAGCATGGCTTATGCAGACATGTGATAGAGATAGCGGAAGAAAAAATGATAATCGTGGGCACCAAATATCATAAGCTAAACACGATTCAATAACAAGTAGCTCAGTCAATATCGAAACTACTCAATAATTTTTATAGTGAATTTTTTTATTTAAAACTCAATGTGTCAGTTTTTGGTATAAGTTTGGTGTTTGCAATATGTATATTTAACCGAGAAAATATGTTTAATAAATAAATATTTATACTTGTATAATATTTTATATAATTCTTTTTTTTGTATAATATTTTATATAATTCTTTTTTTTCTCTATAATTTTTCAATGTAGCGATGCAAATCATCTTATTTGTAACAACGATCTAATGTTGCATAAAACGTTAGGCCAATATAAAAATAATAATCGTATAACATACGATTATGGGCCAATTTTGTATACAACGTTGGGCCAATGTTGTATAAAACGTTGGGCCAATTTTGTATACAACGTTGGGCCAATGTTGTATAAAACGTTGGGCCAATGTTGTATACAACATTGGCCTAACGTTATATACAACGTTGTGCCAATGTTGGGTAAACGTTGTATACAACATTGGGCCAATGTTGTACACAACATTGGGCCAATACCTAACCAATGATCAAACCTGCATTGGGCCAACATCGACTTTCAACGTTAGGCCAATGCATCACCATGCATTGGCCCAACATTGGGCCAATGTAAGCTTGCTGTCTGGGTAGGACCTGTCAGTTGCAGTTTTCGAAAGTAGAGAAAGTTATTAAAGGAAAACCTGGGCGCCCACTTAATTTTGAACAAAATTTTGCTTTTAATAAAATGTGTGACTATCTCTGTGATAACGACGAATGCCAGTATTTAATTTCCGAATTAAATGACAAATTCTGTGAATTCCTTCCCGTTGGAATTGAGGCATGCATAAAGAAAAATTTAAAAATTAAACTTCAAGTTTGTTTCGGAGATGGATTGCTGATTACAACTGTTCCAGGCAAAAAAAAATATTTTTTGCTTCCTTCATGCAAGCCATAGAATTTTTACAGATAATTGGTTCTTACAAAGATGCGCAAACAGGGATGATGAGCGACGTCGGATTGTTGAGACAGCTGCAGCAATTATTTATAAGCACGACGCCGTATGTCGAGAGGACATACGGTGTCGCGCTTATAAATTAGAACAATACCCTACATTTCAGATTATGATGGTTACCTCACAGGAACAAGTTTCAGAATGCTTACAAACCTTTGTTGAAAACGTGGTTAATAAGGACAAAAAGAGTAAGAAAAAATACCTCAAAACGTAAATACGTCACTTTAGAGCATGCTATAATATGTGCAACATGACCAAGATCATTTCTGTCTAACATTAAAATTGGGTTGTCTGTATGTATGTAAGAGACACTTTGAATCCAATATTTTAAATTGATTTATGATGATTTCCGATATTGAATTGTGTTCTTCATATAACGAAGCAAAGCTTTTTGAGTCTGTCGTAACATTATCTAGCGTAGAAGACAAGATAGAGTCAGATGCATTTATTTAGTTTGTTTTTGATAATGTTGATTTTAAAATCCGCATATTAGATGGTTACAATTCTTTTCACAGCATGGTTGGAATTCAATGTTTTACTCCTGCGCATGCAATCAGTTCGTATATAAATGTTAGTAGGCCAAAGATTCTCCCTACTTCAAAAGAGATTGCATCTGTTGGGAAGATAAAATTGGTTAGTTACAACAAGCCAAGGAGCATAGGTCCTTGAAATCTAATTTTAGAAGACATATATGGGGTTACACAAACTACGTCGTTTCTTGATGCACCATTACGACTTGACTTTTTGTGGATGTGTGGTGCATGGTTTGGAATCACTCGTAGACGTTGGAACGGGTGTATGGTACTATCCATGGCCGAAAGTCATCCGTACGAATTGTCTTATGTTTTATCAATGCCTTTAATTAAGAATGCGCCAGGAGATTTAAATACAATATACACTTCACTCCTGATGGCGAAAGAAGAATGCAAGAAAGCTTATCAACTGACATGTTTTGTTACTTTCGATCAGCCTCTATTTGCCAAAGCATGCGAATTAGTAGCGACTTCCGGTATTGATGGGGATCTATCTTTAATTATTGTTAGACTTGAGGGTTTCCATTTATTAATGTTCTTCATGAGAGCTATTGGCCAAATTATGTCTGGAAGCGGATTGGATGAGATTTGGAGAATTGTTTATACAAAGGCTTTCGTAGTTCACATGCTGAATGGTCATGCCTATGCACGGGCACTTTGAGCACGCTTCATAAATCAATTGATCCAATCAAAGAAACTACTAAGGTTGAGATCAACAGTTTAAATTTTTAGATTTTGAACAGCATATCATCTGCAGAACTTCTCAACGAAGCCTTATCAGTGGGTCTTGCAGATTCTGGAGTTCATGTTAAACAGGCACCAGGAGATGCGGTACACTAATTATCAATACAGCAATTAATTTGTCAAGACATGGTCTCAACAAACCTGTTGTAATTATAGGAGAAGACATAAATCTGCTAGTATTGCTTGTGGCTCTAAGAGTTTCAACTACTAATATTTTCATGATGAAGCGTTTCATGAAGACAAAGTTTACAGTGCAAAAAAGCTGAGAGATGGTCTTGGTGACTGCTTTAGGCATTTATTGTTTTTACATGCAATGTCTGAATGTGATTCAACATCATTTCCTTACCGTCAAGGCAAAAAAAAAGCTTTCAAGTTTTTGCACAACAATGTGGATTTATACAAAGTTGTTGATGTATTTAACAAGCAAGAAGCCGAACACGATGAAATTGTTCATACCAGAGAACAATTTTTCCTAGCACTATATGGATCAAAATTTCACTTGATAAATTTCATTATTATGAGTACCTTTGCAGAGTAGCATTAGTTTACAAAAGTAGCATCATTTTGCAACCAGTTTACAAAACATTTGATTTAGCTGTGTTACCACCAACAATTTCCGGAGCAAAGTAACATTCATTTCGTGTCTACCATCAAGTACAGCAATGGCGCGGTAATAACTTGGATCCACTGGAATGGGGTTGGAAAATGATAGGATCAAATCTTTTACAAACATCAAACCTTCAACCGTCAGCTTCAGAAAATTTCTTGCATCTTGCGAGTTGCAACTGCAAAACTGGATGCATTAGGAATTGCAAATGTAAACGCGGTAAATGTAGTCTTACAACTAATATAATGATAATAGTGATTAAAATAACACAAAACTTTCTACCAAAACAATAGATTCCTGTGGTAGTTGATTTGCAATAATTAAAAATGGCTTTTAATAGTTATTTAAATTGTGAATAGGGTGCTTGAATTGCTCATCAATGTGTGGATTATGCCATGGAGTAAATTGCTCAAACCCTGCAAACGTAAATGATGATGACACTGATGAAGAAAAAGATTATGTTAATGACACAAATGGAGATTTCAATTGTTCAGATGAAGAGCTAATATGAAAAATTTACAACCAAATATATTTAAGTTTGAGATAATATAATTATGATAACTTTGTAACATTTTGAAATACGTGTAGTTAAGCTATTGTTCAATATACGATGTGATGCAGTTTAAAGTTTCCGATTTCTTTATTTGACATTTGTATTTACAATAGCATTTTCTTTTAAGCAAATTTCTCAAAGACTTGTAAAACCAAGGGTTTACTATGAACAATTTTTTTTATACCTATATGTATAAAACATTTATTGAAAATTCATATTCGGCATGCTACATCTTTGTTTCCTCAATGACAAATTACAAGACACAAAAATTGTTTCTAAAAGTGATAAACAAACTTTCATAACTTAGTTTGGGTGCTGTTTGGGCAGCCATCTTTTTTTTTTTACCACAAAAATAAAATTGTGAAAAATGAGTTGCTTTAAATGAAAAACATAATACTTGACGCAAAAACTGTACTTTGTAAATTAAAGTTGTTTTTGGCTGCCATCTTGGATTTTTACAACTATTTTCATAAAACTAAAAAGGTTTTCAAGTTTAAAAGGTTTTCAAGTCAAAATAAGTTTAGTTACTATACGATTTAAAACCTTTTTAACCGATTAAATCCAAATTTTGTAAAGCAATAATGCAATAACATTCTAGCAACACGCTCTAGTGGTCTAAACCCCATTTCTTCAATTACAAGCTAATACTATATATATATATATATATATATATATATATATATATATATATATATATATATATATATATATATATATATATATATATATATATATATATATATATATATATATATATGTATGTATCATGGCCTACTATAATTACACGGCCTGATTTGTTGCATTTTCCGTAAAAAATTAAGAGGCCAGTTTTTTTACGGCTAACGTTTGAAATAGAGATGTGCCGGAACCAGTTTATGACGAGTCTCCGATTCCGGGTACCCGGCTGAAAAAACCGGGTCCGAGTCCGGGGACTCGGCGCCGAGTCCATTTTTTAAAAGTTGGAATAAAAACTTGGCAAAATTATCTTGTGTTCTAACAGAATAAAAAGAAGCTATTTTAAAACTTTTTTTTCCATTCTTTTTATTCGTATTCTCGAATTATTTCATTTAGCGTTACAGTTTTTGTATCCGTATAAATATTTTTGCAGAAATGTATTAAAAAATATTTTAAGTTAGATTGTTTTAAGTTAATAGAACTTTGTGGTTATCGACTACATAACACTCTTAGACTTACATCAAGAAGTTTAATGGTTAAAGTTTAAACTAAAGGAAAAATCAATTTGAGGATACCCGGTGCCGGGTACTGCAACAAAATGGCCGATAGCGGGTCCCCGGTAAAACAGCCGAATTGCCGGGTCCCCGGGTCCGAACCGGGTACCCGGCACATCACTAGTTTGAAAGCTTAAATTCTTGTTAGTATTGTGAAAGTTTTATACATATTTTATTAAAATTGGAAAAAATGACTCGGATTTTCTTGGTGTAGTTACATTATGTTACACTGGATTTTTCGCTAACTGATTGCCTGCTTCAGTTTATTCCAGTAAAACAGAATA